CGATTCCATTTGCACAACCGTTTAATAATGGATTGCGAGATACGCCACCTCCAGGAAGCTCTAGTAAAAGAAGAAAAAAAAACATCGAGAATTCGACAACGCTCGTGGCGTACATATTCAAGGTCGACGGCGCCTTCCGAATTCATTTAGCTCTTCGATGGGGCAACTCGCTCGCTGTCTTCTGCAAGTCCAAGTTCAGCGACCGAGTGGAGTCGTGAACTTCGGCACGTCTCCGCCACGCTACCGATCTTGCCTCAACAGCTAGCGACCATTATCTCGATTATTCGGCACTACTGGATGCGCCGAGTAAATGACACACGCGTAGCCGTATCTCGAGTTCGCAGTGAACCACGTAATTTGCAGTAAGCGCGAAGTTACTAAAGGGTCGCTTACGCAAGTTATTTGGGTTCTACACATTCCGGTTCTCAGCCTGCTATTAGAGAGTTTGAGGATAGCGTAGGGACCCTTGCGTTAACACTGCGTACAACGCACGCAAACTCTCAGCGAAACGCTGCGGAGCGCGTCAAATCAACGCTTTTAGTACAGCGGGACACAAACCCATACCCGATAAATACCCGAGCGTTTGCACCGCCATCTAGATTTCCCAGGCAAACTGCTCCGGAGCAATCTAAGGCCGGTATTCGGTCAATCCAGCCTGAGTCTCGCGCTGTACCGAGAGCGACGACAGCAACGAGACGGGCACGCGGAAGACCGCTGCGTGCGGAAGCAAAACTAGATAGCGAGCGTAAAGCGCGAAACACATGTACGACGAAACCGTCCGATCCGACGTCCGACCGCGCAATACGACGGTCGGAGGCGAGGGTTTTCGTAGCATCGGAGAGCGTTGAAAACCCTCGCCTCCGACCGTCGTATTGCGCGGTCGGACGTCGGATCGGACGGTTTCGTCGTACATGTGTTTCGCGCTTAAGTACGTATAAAGCTTGCGGCGTTGCGTACGTATGGAGCAGGCGCGGTGCAGAGCACGCAACGCTAACGCAAACGCACATTGCTTCCGTTTGCACCCGTACACAATACGCAACTCACTATTTCGAGACAAAATATAGCGTTTTGAACCGTTTTCTTATTGTTTTCTTGTTTCTTAAGCGGGAAACACATGTACGACGAAACCTTCCGATCCGACGTGCGGACTGCCGGAATGACCTTGAGGGGAGAGGGTTTTCGTAGCATCGGAGGGCGTTGAAAACCCTCGCCTCCGAGCGTCGTATTGCGCGGTCGGACGTCGGATCGGACGGCTTCGTCGTACATGTGTTTCGCGCTTTAGTCCTGAGGATTGGAAGACGTGCGTCATCTGACGGAGTGCTTTAGTGGTTGTAGGTTTTTCTGTTGTTTTTTTTTTTTGTTTTTTTTTTCTTGATACATTTTTTTTTTTTTTTTTTTTTTTTGTGAAAACGAAGGCCGTGCGGTGAGGTCCAGCAGATTGAGCGCGGTTTCCAAATGTTAAAAACCAAGTTCGTATCAAACAGCTACGAACTAGGCCAATGTGAGATATTGTCGAGATTTATAGAGGTAACAAAAAAAGCAGCCTCAAATAAATGAAACTAATTAGGAAAACTGGTAAAGTGCGAGAGAAATCGAAGCACGACTAACCATCCTCTAAAATGTGTGTATACAATGCAACCAGCGTAAATAAAATGCAAACATTCTGAGGTTACATTCGAGCAACAGACACAGAAGGACATCTTCGCAATGGAATTTCAAATTCGCCTCTATGACACATTAAACTCAACTTGGACTTCGCTTCAGTATAGGTTGTTTTAGTAGGTTCCAAACTGAAGGCCGCATACCTATACCACATATTTTTAAATCTTAAAAAAAAGAATTATTTTTCACATGACGATATTGAAGAACCCGGAGATGTTGCACTAGAGACGGCGTTTCGCTTGTCCCACTCTGCCTGCCCCTCAGCTCTGTGTTTTTAAGCATGACCATGTGTAAGCAGTAGCAGTTAACACCTTCGCGTTAACTGCTATTTTGTGTGTGTGTGTGTGTGTGTGTGTGTGTGTGTGTGTGTGTGTGTGCGTGCGTGTGCGTGTGCGTGTGCGTGTGCGTGTGCGTGTGCGTGTGCGTGTGTGTGTGTGTGTGTGTGTATATAACATTTGGCACATTTCATCTCCTTTTTAGAAAACAGTATGAAAATTTAAATTTGGTAACTCCGCGGCTCCCACCATAAAAACGTTGCAGTCAACAGAAAGGGCTCAAGGAATGACGTTTCCTTTAAATATAGCAAGAGAAAAAAACGTTTTGAGCTTGACCAATGTTCGAGAACAACAATTCGATTGAGGACACGACTTTAAATGTGGTCACGTCAAACCGAATGTCAAGACGCAGACATTGTCCTTCGCTCAAAACGTTTGTTTCTCGGCTTTGGTATTGTTCCAACTCACTCTCGAGATCGCCGTGCCCATAGTCCCTGACCGAATGAAAACGGTAGGATATTTCTTTTCGATGCTCGGCCGCCAACAGGCGCTCGTTGTTTCCCGTCCTAATTTGGTAGCGTATGGACGCTGCAGGCTCACAAGATGTCAAAGCATTACTGAAGGCATGGAGCTCGCGCTGGAGACCGCACATCTGCAAGACATCCCTCGCGTTCTAATCATTTTGGTTGCTATTCGCGACTCCAGCAAAACGGACGCCGCCGAGCGGGAAAACCGGGAACCAGTCGGTCCAGGTCGCTCCGCGCCCCGCCGCGTCTCTGATGGCTTTCGCGGACACGTGCTGTCGGCGCAGGGGCGGGCAATGTAATTTGACGAAGGTCCGAAAATTTCTTAAGTTTGCCTGAGCGTTCATTAGTGTGGTGAAGCCTCAGCAGATTGTTTCTTTCCATCATGTGTTTGAAAGCCCGTTTACTCCACTACACACGGTCGCGTGCTTTCAATTTTTTGGATGAGGAGGAATCACGGAAAAACGTTTTGATTTCTCGTCTGTCTTTAATCACATTCAAAGTGACGACTGCTTGGAAACTGATAAGTGGTTTCTTTATAAGGATGTAGAAGAGTGGACAGAGGTCGACAGACGAAGTGTTTCACTGGAGGGAACACCAATGTTGCTGTCAAGTGAATGGGAAGGTTCGATAGCTGCTTTCCTTGAGTTTCGTTGTGCTCGATTAGCTTCAAGTTAATTTGAGCCACTAACGCCGGCCGGTGCGTTGGCTATTCATCTTGGCTGCTTTTCGCCGAAAAAGACCACATTGAAGGAGTTGGGCTAATTTCGCAATTACTTGATTCCGAAAACCTGCTCGCTGCATATGATTAATGAAAGAAATTGTCTTCTTTCAAAAGGTGGGGGACGCGTCTGGCAAAGTTAGAAGCTGTCACGTCATTATGATCTATCGCGCCTTCAATATTTATACTATAACCCCTGTCGAAGCCAGCAGCAATATACGTCTACATTGCTCAGGTTGACCGGCCACAAAAAATACTCATTTTATCCGTTCAGGATTCGAAGTCAAGTTCAATGCAGAGAGGTCTGATTGAATCTCCGATGAAGACTCTCCTCAGTTTGTCCGCATTCGTCTCCGTTCTACGGGCTAGAACCATTTGGCTAAGTTTAAGTAGTATCTTTCTGCCTGGCAAATATACTGTTATTCAGCAGTTCACCTAATAGTTAGTCAACTAAGTTCATATTTCAACCCGAAGAATATATATCTAATATCGCTTTAGTGGGACCATAGTACGTAATATAATACATAATCCGCATATTCGTCAAAATGACTTCTCGACTGCTACTAAAACCTGAATTGAAATACGAGTATCAGCTGCTTAGTGAAGCGCCAGCGGGTTAACATGCTCCTTGGCTCAAGAAGCGCTTGCTTAATTTTCGTAATTTTCCTGCAGTCTGTGTACTTGACCGAGCACACGACTGGAGCTGTTTCTTGAAACGCGGACACGCACAAAAGCTTAATTTCGCGGACAGATAAGTCGCATGGTCGAGGCATGCGAGTTAGCTAAAAATTACTCTCGGTGGAACAATTTTGTAGCCCTCGCCGCTTTTCTTAGATGATCAAAACTAATTAGAGTCTATTACTGTTTCTCCGGAGCCCATAGTTTCGGTTTTGAACGAAGTCTCCGAAACGAAAGTTTGACATGAAAAGAACAAAAAACACCGGCAAAACAAAACTATGCTCGGAAAGTTTATGCGCACCGGCTACACTTAACTGTCTCAGTTCAAATACTCATAAAATTGGGCATTAAACAAAAGAAAATCTGTTAAATTGAATGCGCCACCCATTCAGGTGGCCCGGCCGAGCCGACGCGACCTGGACCCAGCCGCCATGTTTGTTTGGTGGTGGCGCCCCCTATAGGTCGCTGGAGTCGCGAATATATAGCTCTCCGCGTGCTTTGTGGGAAAGAGGATGTCAGGGCGCTTTTTAGGGTGCCCGAACAACCTATGAGTACATAACTGCATCTGTGTACTACATGTACTACATGTACTACATTCCTGTTGAATTTACACATGTAAATTCAACAGGAATGTTTCCCTCAGATACGTGACGTATCACCTGCGACGTTATCAGAAGCCCTAGTCTTAAACGACTTCAATCCAGTGTACACTATTGCCGATGATCTTCCGCTGGGAATCAGTTGAACGTATACGGAAGTTTCCGGTTCAGACTGTGACACCAGATTTAATTTTACCATTTCAAGAGGAACAAATTTTTATTTTACCATTTTAAGACGAACAAAAGAACGAACTTGCTCTACTAAATCTCTGAGAGAGAAACAGTATTTTCCCAAAAATACATCTCGTGGAAATCACAATAATGTAGTGTGTAGTGCACCGCAATATTGTCGCTGGTTTCCTGAAATGGAGGAGAAGGAAATACTGCAGCACTTTAGTACGACGCCCACGTCTCTATGATCATCCTACGACTTATTGTACCTACGTTTTTGTTTCCGCGGTTATTTCGACTTTTTGAGACAAAACTTTTGAAATCGATTAGGAGACAAAGGTGGAGAAGTAAGCGAAGATTGTGAACTCACCCAGTTTTGATGAAGGCTGCCCAAGACTGCATGAGCTCGTTGCTGAATGTGACCTCCTCAAGCGGCGTCACGTGGTTTTCCGAGAGCCCGTAGTTGGTTGGAGAGGTGACATTTTTCAGTTCATCCTTGTGCGTCTCCAATATGCCCCTCAGAAAAGCCACATCTTCAGCATGCGTCGATGCATCGGTGAAGGTGCCGAAAAAGCTCTCCAACGGCTTGTGTAAGAAGGCGTAATTATACAAAGGAATCTTATTCTTCACGATCTGATCGGTGAAGACCTCATGAGGACAGTTGAAGAGACAGTCGCCGAAAGATTGGCTGGCCGTTTCTTTTAGCTCATCAAACGTCAACTCATATTTGTCGTCCGTGTAGCTTAAAGCTATTTTTTGGGCGTCTCGCACTCCCACCTTAAAGAAGGTCATGACGGCAATCCGCATCACGGAAACGTAGTTTTGCTGCAAGACCTCAGTTGCATTTGAAAACCTTTTGTGAATTGCGAACGCGAATACGGCACCTTCTTTCTCGTTGAGGCCCATTAACACTGCTTCTCCATTCAGGGTGTAGTCATCGACGTTGGCGGGGTTCACGGGCAAGAATTCATTCCCTGCCCGGGGGAAATAAAATATCATCTTAGTTCCCAGCTTTTCCTGGGCGGTATCCAACAATTGCTTCGCGTCCAGTTTCCGGAGGCATCTCAGCACGTCCCCGACTTGCTCTTCGGCCGCTTTCTCGAGATCGTAGCATCCAACAGCCACGGCAAGTTCGACCATCTGGCCCAATCCCTCCATGTTGTGACCAGGCGTCATTGTAAAGGGGTTCCCGCTCTCCATGATGACCCTCTTAAAAAGTCCTTTACTCAAGGGTGACATCATGTGGTAACCTGCCGATATGGCTCCCGCACTTTGACCACCTATTGTTACCTCTTCGGGGTCCCCGCCGAAAGCTTCAATGTTGTCCTTGATCCAACGCAATGCCATCGTTTGGTCGAGAAGTCCCATATTTCCGGGTGCGTCTTCGGTGCCGGAATTCAAGAACCCAAAGACGCCCAACCGATAGTTGAAGGTCACATAGACGATCTCCGTCGATGCCGCGAAATTGACTCCGTCGTACAAAAAGAGCGACGCGTCACCGATAACGAAGGCTCCGCCGTAGATGAACGCAAACACCGGAAGCTTCTTGCACCCCCTTTGACAAGTCGCCGGACGCCAGATACTCAGCTTGAGACAGTCCTCGCTGCTATTCTTGACCTGAAGCACGTCCAGAAGAGGCGCCCGCTTCAATTCGCCGACATTCACCGAAACTTGAACACAGGCGCTTGGCTCCACCGTCGCGTTCAACACCCCGCTCCAAGGGTCTACGGGATAGGTCTTCTTGAAGCGGTACTCTCCGAGCGGGGGCTTGGCGTACGGAATTCCGTAAAACACGTCGACGTCTTTTCCCTTGTGATGAACCCGGTTCCCCATGACTGCTCCGGAAGGTGTCTCGACGACGGGGTGGAATCCGAGCACGACCTGTGTCGCGGCCAAGAGCACGAGGCTGGCTTTGAAATCCATGTTCCAAGTCTGACCTGGGATCGGAACCGTCCTGCCCTTCACTGTTGAAATCGGTCGATGCGAAAGTTTCGGTGCGAAGTCCTCTTTTATGAGAGGAGCTCCAAAGGAGGCTCGCCGCGCGAGCGTCCAATGGGGAAGCGAACCCGACGCGACCTTGACAGTCAAAGTTGGAAGCTCGCTCTCCGCTCGCGGCGTGCCGCGAGAGCTGCCCTCGCTTTTAGGGCGCTGACTCAATCTTTTTTTTTTCCCCGCGCCGGTATAACCGGAGACGTCAACGAGGTGATGTAAGTCGTCCCGCTCTTCTGCTTCTGGTCGGCAGATCTGCAAAGTACCATCAGGTTCGTTAATATTTCTAAGTGTCATCCTGATATTCTGACGAACGCTTTCATTTCATTGTTACGTTTGCGCTTCCAGAAATGACCAGAAAAGCCATCTGACCGGACGCGGTTTCTCGTACAAACGAGTGTGAAACGCCATACGGGCACTATCGTGATTGACGCTAGAGAGGCGGGGAATGGTGATCGTGCCCCTGCGGTGCTGCACACAGGCTTCTACGAAAACTGTCGCGCCATGTAGAATTGCGATTATTCGTCAGTGTTTATTGCAGTATAATTGGCCTACTCAGACATATCGTCCAACGGGTCATATTGCGTGCTCCGTATTATCTCATTTCTTTTTTATTGTCTCAAGCACTTAGAAGAATTACAGTATCGCCAAGCTTAAACGACGCCTCACAACGCACCGAAGCTACACTTTTATATGCGTAAAAAAGTTGTATAAGTTGCTCTCAAAAATGGCGCGAGGAGTCTGGAAAAATGTTCTGGGTTTCTGAAAATCGGCGTTCCGTCGCTTGTTTTTAAAATACGTGATCTTGCGAGTAGGTAGAAGCGGCGCGGAGGCAACGCTTGAGAGAATTCCGGTTTGAGTTCCGCCAAGACATTCACCCAAGCGTTGACGGGGTTGCTGAAAAAGCCGCTAAAGAAAACGTTGCCTTCTGGTCGTTTACTGGATGTGCAAAGTCACGTGGTATTTTAGATGGCATCGTTCATGCTCTCCACGTGCGAACAAGAATTAGAATTAGATTAGCTGAATCGCCTCGAGGCTTTGTAACGAATTATACTTCCACATCGAAGTGCCGCGCCACATGCATCGCCAGCCACCTAAATAACCATCTTATACGTAAAAAAGAAGATATATATATGTGTGTGGCGTTTCTTGTTGGTTCAGTTTTGTTCTGCTTTTTCTATTCCCATTCGTTTTTAATTTATACTTTTTCCGGACAGCCATGACAACTTGTGACGCTAGATAACCATTGGACTCCCTCTCTCTCTTCTTCTCTCTCTCTCTCTTTCTCTTCCGGTCGTTTTGTCCACGACCTCAAGAGTTCTAATAACAAGTTGATCACAGATACGAATCAATATACGTGCAAAGCTGCACATACGCAAAGGAGGCGCCGTCGTGAATGCTGCCATCCACATGACTTGCAACAGGACGGTTGCCCTTGGCTCAGGTCTCTGTCACTGGCGACAGGCCGAACAAAGAACCGTTTCCCTCATTTTATTTTTTAAGGCGAAAGCAAATATGATATAGCTTCGCCAATACTGGAAACTCCTCCGAAAACCTAGGGAGCGGCGGCGAATGCGAAAGTGGAGCTTCCAGCGGACTCGTAGTCTACGGAAGCAGACGACGCACTGGAAAAGTGTAGGCTCCGCAACGTCCTTGAGCTTTGCGAACCCTGTTTCGTCACCCTAACAGCTGAAACAATTCATTACGGTCAGTCTGCTTCCAAAGCGGAATCCACTGATCGCAACTGCAACGACAATCAAATAAGAACGCGCGCAGAAACAAAGTTAGAGCAGTTTATTAGCGGTCTCAAACGCCACTCAGGAGATCACAAGCGTTTGAAGCAAATCTGAGCAGCAAAGAAAAGGTGTTTAGGTACTCGAACCACGTCGTAAGAGGTTACTGTTGATCTGTTACGAACAGCGCTGTCACAATTTCTTACCTTAATAGGTGATTATAAAAACTTGCGCAAACAACAAACGTCTGTTGAGGCGTCAGTGTCAATTTTGAAGCCAGACTTGGATAGCTCTTTTAGTTTAATTTGAAGTAACTTAATTACTCACGTTTGTCCGGTCTTCCGGAAGCGGAAGAATGATTTTCCACCACATCGCGAAAACTTGTTTTTGCAGGGGTAGGCAGCACATGGCATGCCTACCATTTCCAAGTATGCGCTGGTGTATGCCCGAAGGCGGCCGGTTGATCAACAAACGATGACCCATGGCAGACGTGGCCGCGTACTCAAATAAAACCCTAATTGAAATGTATAACGAGCTTACATTTTTTTAATATATTTATGAAGTATCAAAAGCACATATGAAGATTTCGGATTAGAAACTCAATCGAAGGCGAAAATAGAAAGTTATCGCAAACGACAGTGGAAAAAAAATAACAACAAAGTTGCAAACGGCCCTCCAGGGGCTCTAAACTCGTCAACAACGAGGTAGAGGGGCTTAGAGCGATAAACCGGGGTTCCGGTCTGCACTCGAAAGTGACCCCCATAAGGAGGCTGCCATTGTACGCAAATTTGACCACACGTCACATGACCAAACCAAATACGTGACGTCACTGGAAAGATGGCAGCGCCCATGCAGCGGCTGGCCCCAGCTGGGCCGGAGCTTGTCGGATGCTTTGTTGGTTGTCGTTCGTCTCGGCGAGTTGATTTCAGACGCGGAAGCCGTCATATAAGGCCGGTCGAAAGCGAGTTCGGAGTTCAGCGTGGTGTTTGACGTAGGTATAACGTGAAACTACGGAGGAACGGTGTGCATTTCGCTGGTGACCGACCGGGATATTGCCACGGAAGAGACAATCTAACCTACGTTGCTCGGACCTCGGATTGAATCGGATACCGCTAGGATAAAATTTAAGGCGACGTTTCTGTGCTCTCGTTGACCATCGGAATCTTCGAGGTTTGCAGTGAAGCGTGTGCAATATATTTGGATACACAGTTTAGCGACGGAAATTGCGTGAGTCGTGCTTGGCGGTGTGCAATCGCGGTGCAGCTTCGATCAAATGACCGAGGGCTCACTTCGGTTGTGCGGCGCACCTGAAGGCTGCCTTTAAGCTGGTAGTTCCTGTGCCATGCTTTAGGTGATGCTGTGCTGCTTCCGAAATTGTTCCGGCGTAGACGTGCGCTTTCACGGAGCACAGGTGTTGCAGTTGGTATTGGTCCCGCTGGTCTGTCGCACGTTTCGTCAACACAAACATATCATTCACACTCGTTACGCGAATTGCAAGCTGTCCGGACATTTCATCGAGCGTGTTACCTACCCAGCTCACGCCGCTTTGTGGCAACAGTCTGCAGTGGCTCATTACCAGAAAAGTGGTCCCACATCCATTTCAGTTCAGTTCGTCCACGGCAGTCGCCAAACCCCGAAGAAGAGGATTTATTCGGACAGAATGCCACTAAAGCAATGCAGCTTCTACAGTGGTCAGGATAGATTCTCTTCTGCGAGTTTTGTTATACTGTCACGGATCCTTGTTCCAGTCCTATCTTCTATCAATATTCGCTATTCTGGGACACTGCAGGTCATGCTCAACTGTAATCGTATGTTCTGGTGGAGGTGCTGGGCACTTTACCCATAGCCCTTCACTCTGTGTGTCAGCCGAGTTACCCGATAATGGGACACGGCTGGCGGACTATTTTGCGTTTTATACCCCCGTTGAGCCGTAAGCAAAGTCCTGACCCGAGCCTGGCAGAACAACCTCAAGACGACCGAGTACCACAAGGAGTAACCTCGGAAATACACCACGAAGCACCTGAAATCCGAGTCAGTTGCTGCTACCAGGAAAAACCACCGGAATTCGGTCTCCTGTCTGAAAATCCGAAGCTTACTAAGCCAACAATAACAAACCTGTAGCAGCGAACCGTGTCCCCTCCCACCATTGTTTGCATGCCCGTCGCAAATCACACTCCGACGCTTTTTCACGCAAGCTGTATGAAGGCGTCAAGGACTGGATTGAACAATATGACAGTGTCGCCCGCCACATTGGGTGGACAGACAACCAGCTCCTGCAGAACCTTACTTCTCGTGGAAGAAACTGCCGGCGCTGGTCTGAGAACCATAGATCCTCCTTAACGTCATGGGAAGTTTGCAAGATCGAGCTGAAGCGCGCATTCGTCAGCCAACATCAACGAGAGAGAGCCGCATTTCGATTCTGTCCAGGACACTGCCCCAACGAGAGCGCCACCGCACTCGTAGAGGATGTTTTGCGCTTGATCGAGCGCCCACGCCTACGCCCACGCCGACCTTGATGCTACAGAAGACAAGAACCTAAGAATCCCATGCCCCTCACGTGAGGGACAACACCTTCAGCAGCCTTGTCCGCAACCCCCCAACAACAGTCGAAGTGTTCATATCACCGAGGCTTCCAACATGGAATGTGCACTGCATGCCCGAGCCTGCCACTATGAACAACTTCCCGGCGTCTCGACACTCGAGTTGTCCAGCTTCTACTTCGACGCCAGCCTCCCAGGCATCCACGACATCATCCACGACGTTGTCTGGGAGGAGATCAGGAAGCTACTTCCTGCCATCAGTTGCCCGGCTTTTATTTTGATTGCCAAGATTGTTTCGGAACAAGTTTGACAGGTATTTCAACCGAGACTTCTGCGAGCGAAGCGGCATCTGACAAACCGAGGGCAACTTACGCCACAATGGCACGGCGACCGCCACCGGCTGCCCCTTAGTATTCAGTGCCAATTCAATGAGACACTCTAACGCCAAAGCATTCCCGACATTGTGTGTAGGTCTGTGCTCAACAAGGTACACCGAGGAAAACGTAGGTGATGCGAATGTGCGACCGAAGACCACTTTGCTACCACTGCATGAAGCCGACCATGTCTACCAAAGCAGCCCGTACCAATGAATTGGTCTGCGAGGGTTTGTGCCAAATGACCCTCGATTATGTCTCGAGGAGCGACCACAGGAGATTAAGGATTACCTTCGGCGACCTTTGTCCCTGATGCCGAAGGTTCTGAATCCCTGATTACCCCGTAGCTTTTTATGTCCATCACCTCAACAAGAGGTAAGCACGACAAAGCAGGTGAGCGGCGATGCAGTGACAGTTGATTTGGTGTTAGTTGTCGTCCAAGGACAATACCTAATAATTTGCCGACACCCTTCATCTGTGTCCATGCAATGAAGCACACAATTTCCAACTTTGAGGGAAAATGCCCCTGAGTGACTTGAAGGAATAGAATGGTTGGTTGCTCTCAAAAGTGAACTGCAAGCATCACCAGACTTGGATAGCAAACAAA